GGAGAGGGAGAAGCAGACTCCCAGCTGAGCAGGGAGCCCGATGCGGGGCTCGATCCCAGGATCCTGGGATCATGACCTGAGCCGAAGGCAGACGCCTAACAACTGAGCCACCCAGGCGCCCCGGATTTTTGAAGGAATTTTAAAGACATGAGTGATACTCCTCATGTTGTGTGGAAAGAGCAGGATAAAGCTATTTAGAAAGGCATACAACAGTTAGAAACGGACAGGCACACCTCATTTTATTGCACTTTTCTTTATTGTGCTGTGTTTTTTACTAGTCGAAGGTTTGTGGCAACTCTGTGTTGAACAAGAATATCAGTTCCATTTTTCCAACAGCAGTTTTCTCACTTTGTGTCTCTGTGTCACATTCTGGTAATTCTCGCAGTAATTCAAATGTTTTCATTATTTTTTAAGATTTTATTTATTTGAGAGAGAGAACGAGTGGTGGGGAGGGGCAGAGGGAGAGGGAGAAAGAGAGAAGCAGACTCCCTGCTGAGCAGGAAGCCTGACCTGAGCTGAAGGTAGGTGTTTAACCAACTGAGCCACCAAGGTGCCCCTGTGTTCATTATTATTATATTTGTCGTGTGATGTTTGATCAGTGATTACAACTCGCTGAAAGCTTAGATGATGATCAGCATATTTAATTAAGGTATCTAAGTTGTTTTTTTAGACATAGTGCTTTCGCACGCTTGTGCTGCATGATAGGGTAAACTTAACTTTTATATGCACCGGGAAACCAAGAAGTTCATTTGACTTGCTTTACTGTGATACTTGCCTTATTGGGGTGGTCTGGAACTGAACCCACAGTATCTCCAGGGTACGCCTGTCTACACACAGATGCCTGGGGAGATGTGCGAGGGGGCGTGTCCTCTCGCATGGCCACTGTCAGCCCTTATCCCTGTCTGCATGTTCCAGTTTTGCACAGGCATATGATTTTGCATATGATTTTCATATTCAGGGAAGAAAATAACTCAGAAAGAATTCTTACAACCCCAGTAAAATTGGGGAGCAACTGAAATGTGTGGTTGCAGAGAGGTGGGTAAGGACAGACAGCAGGGTCCTTCCGAGCAGCTGAATGTGCTGCTGAGCCCTAAAGTGATGATGAATGTTGGTGCAAACACACTTGACATCCTGGGAGTGCGAAGAGGGTGGCGGGACCCAGCGTTGTGGCCCAACTTTTAACTACTGCCCACGCGAAATGATGTGTTTGCAAGGATGTCAGTAAAGGAATTCCGTTGGATTTGTTGGGAGTGGGGTGGCACTGGGGAGGCAGGCAGTGATGGGTAAATTTTTAATACTGTTTAGAAATCCACTGTTATCCCCATAATGTTCGTGGAATGCTTTTGAAAGGATTCTTTAGAAAGTCATTGTCTTCATGCTTTGCAGAAATCCAGTAATGAAGCGACTGTTTACTCACAGAATTAAGGAGCCCGTGGCCAAGTAGAAACCCGTTCCTCTGGCATTCTCTGCAGAGGCTTAACGCTGCTGGTCGCACACTACCCCTCAGGCTCCCCAGTCGCTGCCAGCACCCCCCCCAGCCCCCACCGCCTGCACCGGCGCGCACTCTGGGCATGCGCATGGAGGCTGCCAGCCCAGCCCTCCGCCAGTGCATCCGCCTTCTTATATCTGATAATCCCTAAAGAACACATCAGCCTGAGGGCCTGTGAGGCCAATGGGGAATTAGGGAATGTGACACAGCTGGAGCCCTCCATCAGCACGCGGGCTCTGTCCCATCATGTCTGCCACCGTCTGAAGAGTTCCCTCCTTTGTCCTTGAATGAGAGTCTAGGGGCTCTGCCTAGAGCCTGCAGTTCTCGGGTGACCTGGTGGCCCTAGCTTGAGAGGAGGAAGCCAGGGTCTTGCTGCCAGCGGGGTTTCCCTGGGACCCCCTCCCCAGCCCACAGGGCAGCCAGAGTCTTCATCCTCAGGTGGTGGGGGCATGGGAGCACCCACGGCTCTGTGGGTCCCTGTGGGAGCCGTAGCTGAGGGACCTCTGTGGGTCAGCTAGGGGCATGGGCAGCGCCCTCTGTATGTTCGTGGTGCCCAGTCCAAGCCTCCTCGTGCTGCCCCACATGAGGTACTTGCCTGCCGTAGACAAACGCATGTTGAGCAGAGGCAGCTCCTTCCCCAGGAGCCCCACCCGCTCTGATCCAGGAATGGAATGGGGGATTGGTCTCGGGGTGCCTGGGTTTCCAGTGGGCCCGTTGTTGAGTTCATGTCTAACTGCGGTGGCATGCCCCTGGGGTTTCCAGGTGTAAAGAGTGGACAAGGCACGTTCTTCCTCAAATGCCTGCTCTGACAAGGGACCATTTCACTCCTGTCTGCTGTGCCCACCTTACGGGCAGGCAGAGCTAGGCTGGGATGTGCCTGCTTGCCACCAAGGGCAGGAGCTGGAGGTGGGAGCTGTAGCGACCCCTCTGCATATCACTCTTGCTTTTGCCCCTGGGCATGTCTGGGACAGGCCCCTTGGCCTTAGAGGCTGCCTGGTTCTGGTTTGTGAGACATCCTGGGGCCTGATGAACTCCCCCTCTTGTTGGCATGGTCAGCCGTGCCCCGAGGAGCTGCAGTGCGCAAGGAGGCCCCCTCAGCCTCTGCTGTCTTCTCTTTCAGACGGGGTCCAGGCCCAAGTCCTGCGAGGTTCCTGGGATCAAGTAAGTCTCAGCAGGGCCCGCCCTGCATGCCCGGGGCTGTTGGGGCCGTTCAGATGACCCCCGGGCTTCCTGGCCACTCAGCAGGCTGCAAGTCCTGACAAGAGGGCTGCCCTGCCGCTGGCAGCTATCCAACGAGCCTCACCGGGGTGGGGGTGGGGGTGGGGGGAGAAGGGGCCCTCCTACCCCTCCCTGCCTGCGGGGACCGAGCCTCCTCTCCCCGCCACTCAGCCCCAGCTCATGGGCTCATCAGGCACACCCTGTCCCTGGGCAGCAGGAGGACCCTCACCCCAGCCCCCTGTCCTGCGTAGACAGGCTGCTTCCTAAGGTCCCGTTGGAGGTGCAGGCTGACGGTCGTTTCTGAGCATGGCAGCACCTAATCCCAGGGTACTGTTTGGTGCCCCCTAATGTTCTTGCGCCAGCCCCCCCCACCCCCTCACCCCCCACTACAGCTTCTGGGGGAGAATGGGCCGGGGCGAGAGCTCACCTCCCCCCTCTGTCTGGCCTTCCCCCCAGCATCTTTCCATCCGCTGACCAGGAAAACACTACAGCCCTGATCCCTGCCACCCACAACACAGGGGGCTCCCTGCCTGACCTGACCAACATACACTTCCCCTCCCCCCTCCCGACCCCACTGGACCCTGAGGAGCCCACCTTCCCCGTGCTCAGCAGCTCCAGCAGCACCGGCAGCCTCGCAGCCAACCTGACTCACCTGGGCATCGGCGGCACCAGCCAGGGTAAGGCCAGGCCAGGCGGTGGCAGGACTTCCTTCCCCGGCGGAGCTCAGCATCTAGTGAAGATGCCACACGGGTTTGAATGATGATTTAGCAGGATGACATCCAAAATACCGGGCACGGAGTGGGAGGCAGAACCTACCACAGGGGCTTGGCATTTCCCAGTGTTGCCCAGGAAAGGCATCCTGGGCAGAGGGCACACAGCCTTGGCGGAGGCCTGGAGGTGGGAAAACTCCCAGTGTCCCCAGGGATCAGACAGTGGTTCTGAGGGTGGACTGGGGGCTTCAGAGAGTCTGAGTGAGTCCAGAACATTCTAGGAGGGGAGCCCCCAAGGGTTTGACCTGGGGTATACCAGGCATTGCCCCTGCCTCTCCTTGTCCTTAGCTCTTCATGGAGGGACAGGACCAGGCCTGACCTGCTCCCTCCACACTCCCTTGCACCCAGTGGCTGACGGTGTCCCACCTGCTTGGGACACTCCAGCCCAGGCCATGGCCATGGGGACATCCCACGGGCCCCTCGCCTTCATAGTACCTCCCAGTGCTGCCCCAGTCCTGCTCCTCTGGGGACGGGCAGCACTGTTTCCAGTGGCATAATTCCTCTGTTCTCTTGCCTGCCCTAGCCTGTTGATGCATCCCCTCAGCCCCACCATTAGGGCCCCGCCCAACTTGGACCCCCTCCACCTTGCATGGCCTCCACCTGCCTGTCCTCCACCCGACCCCCCAGCTCCCAGCCTCTTCTCACCCAGAATCACCTTGTGGCTCTTGTCTGCTCAGGACCTTGCACAGGTCCTCAGCTCCCTCCCAGTGAAAACCTGAGACCCCTGGGGCCTGGGAGGTCCAGTTCACCCTCCGACTTGGTCTCCCGCCCCACCCCTACTCCTGCCCCCCGCAGCATCTCCCGTCCAGCCAGTGAGCTCGCCTGAGGGCATTGGCACGTGCTGCCCCTCTCTTACAGTCCTCCTCTTCCTCCAGGTGGCCGCAGGGCCCCTCACCCACGCCATCCCCGCTCATACCTCCTCTTCTCAGTGAGCCGTCTTGGCCTCCTGCCCACACACCCTCACCCCCGGTCTCACTCTGCATTGCTTTTCTGCATTCACTCTGCTGCTCTTGAGTCACTCCTTTGCTCTCATCTGTCCCCTGGGTCAGGGCCAGCTCTCCGATGTCCCCACTATGACCCCCATGTCCCCGCTGTCATTCTTGCACCCATGTTGACTGTGGGCTGTGTGGGTTTGCATCCATGGGGGAGATGAGGCAGCCCTGGCAGCCTTGTGGCGAGATAGGCAGGACAGGCTGTGGGGGGACCCTTCTGTGAGTCCACACATGTCAGGACTTGGCGGCTAGTGAGAGCACTACCTTGCTGTGCCCTCCGGCCTGCCCGGGAGCCAATGCTCACCCCGTCCATCTGCCTGTCGTACCTCTGCCCCAAGTGTGGTGGGCAGCACCATGCAGGGTTTTCCCAGGGAGAATCACACGCTCAAATTCACATTTGCCACAGCCCTTCTGGCTGCCCAGGGAGAACAGGCTATCAGGAGGGGCGGCAGCACCAGGGCAGGGCCCCATCGAACGCTCTAGAGAGGCTTCCAGGTAAAGTTGGCTGGCCTGGGAGCTAGGTCAATGTGGGGAGCAGAGGAACTTGAGGAGCCTGGAGCCGTTCCTGGCTTTGGTGCTGACAGGGCCAGAGGCAGGTGAAGGGTGTTGAGAACAGTGCAAGTGTTCCTAGGTTTCTAGATGAGGAAATAGAGGCCAGAACAGTGCAAAGGGGAGCAAGACCCTGGCCTAACAGCACTGCGGCTCTGTTCCTGCTTGTACACCGCTGGCCCCGTGCCCACCCAGGCTCAGCCACCAGGCAGAGGATGCCAGCCCCCGCTGTGCCCCCCGCCCCAGAAGGCCTAGAAGACAAAACGAGCAGATTCAGGCAGCCTGAGACCCACGGCCTCCTGAGAGGTGGGTGGGCAGGCAGCATCCACACAGGTCTGCGCAAAGCAAGAAATCAGAAGGTTGGCTCGGGATGCTGGTGGGGGGGCCCTGTGTGCAGACACCGCTGTTTCCTGGCCCCCCATTTTTCTCCTCACGTCTCGCCGAGAGCACAACCCCCTCCTCCAGAGGGTCCTTGGCAGCCCCCCAGCGCCCGCCCGGGAGCTGTGTACCCCCGGCCCACGCCGAGTCTAAACAAGCACAGGAAAACACAGCACATGTGAAAGTCATAGACGCGGGAACAAGCGCAGACCCCGATCGTGGGGCCCAGACCCCAGCCCGCCTGGCTGGGAGCGCCAGCCCAGTAATGTCTGACATGTGTTTGGTTGTTTGCGAACCTGCCGTTCTAGCAGCTCGCCTGGCAGGGGCTTCGCTTTCTGGGCGCATTTTAAATGAAGCCGAGCCACTGGCCCCTGGCACACATGGAGGTCGCCCCCCCACCCCAGCCCACCCGCCAGTCGGAACGTGAGCCCCTCGAGAAAGAATGGGAGGCTTCCGCCACCAGGGAGACAGCGGCCCCTTTCGTCCTCTTAAACATTTGCTGAGGTCGTTTTCCTGGTTGTTGGCCAGAACCCGGAGGAGGGCAGGCCCGGGTCCTGCTTCCTGGCACGGCTCCGAGGCCTGCCGGCCCCGCACACAAGGCTTGCGTGCCTCAGGCTGGGCCCCTGCCACCTGGCCTGCCCTCCCTTGGCAGCTCTCCCTGCCCGCCCCAGACTTCCCTTCCAGCTGGCCTCACTCCTTTTCCCAAAGGTGATCCAGGTTGCCAAAAGGAATTCAACAGCAAGGCGTCCGTCCGCCCTCCCGGTCCAACTGGCCTCTCCTGGGGTGGTGGCCTGCCCAGTGTGAGACCAGGAGCTCACTCTGCAGCCCAGCAGAGGATTAAAAACTCCCTTGTATTCCGGATCGACAGAGGCTGGCAGCCCAAGCGCCAAATCCAGCCTACGGTGTGTTTTGTCTGGCCCGTAGTTGCGTGCGTGATATTTGAATCAACATTTTTTTTTTTTTTTTAGATTTTTTATTTCTTTATTTGACAGTTGGAGACGTAGCGAGAGAGGGAACACAAGCAGGGGGAGTGGGAGAGGGAGAAGCAGGCTTCCCGCGGAGCAGGGACCCCGATGTGGGGCTCAATCCCAGGACCCTGGGACCATGACCTGAGCCAAAGGCAGACGTTTAACGACTGAGCCACCCAGGCACCCCTGAATCAACATTTAAAAATCAGGAGAGTGCATGTAAATCTCGGGATTTCTGGCTTCTCTTGAAGAATCAGAAGGCCCAATAGTGGTGGGTGGAGGTCCTGGGCCTTGAGATGGTCCAGTTTGCCCCAAGCCCCTGTTGCCCCACTGACCCTCTCTCTCCTGGCCTTGGTCTCTGCTGCTTAGCAAGCTCTGACATCGCTTCTCCCTGGGTGTGGTGTGTTCTCAGCCTGAAGAACATAAGAGGCCGTGGACGCTCAGAGAAGGGGAGGGAGCAGCCCGTGGGCCTGACTCTTGAGTGTTCTCTGATCAGGCATCTCCTGGACTCCTCCTGCTCAGGCTTCTTGTCCATGCCCCCTTGATGTTGCTGTGTCTGCAGCAGCCTGATTCTGGGGCCCGAGGTCTGTGCATAACCTGGAACCCAGGGCTCTGCCTCGGGAGCACTCAGTGGTGCCAGGCCCTCCTGTGGTGCACGGCTGCGTGGAGCTGCCAGGGCGACTGAGGGGAAATGCAGGCATGACCAGGCTTGCCTTGCACAGTGAGAAGGCTGCCCGTCCTCTCCCCTCGGTGTGTGCTGGGTGCCTTCCCACTGGCCTGTGAGCCCGCTGTCTCACCTGCTGGACCCAGGTTGATCTGATGGCCTTGGCAGGATGTGCCCAGTTGACCCCGGTGAGTCAGGCTCCTACATCGGCCTTGACTGCAGGCGAGACTGGCTTCAGAGCCTGCTCCCGACCTCATTAGTGCCCTCACAGTGAACTCTTGAGGGTGGCTGTTACCATTTCCATCTCAAGGATAAGGAAGCAAGTCTGGAGGATCAGGCCAAGCCCCCAGGGCTCCCCCAAACATCAGGAGGCCTGTTGCTTCCCTGGCACAGTGCCCCAGGAAAACCCAGCAGGCCCCAACTGCTGCCATACGGAACTTGACCTCACTCAGCTCCTTCACGACAGACACATCCAGGGATAGGATTGCTGGGGGAGGGAACCAGGGTGAGGGAAAGGGCAACATGGAGCCCTCCTGACAGGAGGTCAGTTGGGAACATGGGTATCGGAAGAAGATAGAGAATAACTGAGTTTCTAGCAGGGCTGATGGTTGAGCATGGAGAGCACACGAGGTGGAGGGGTGTGGGGGGAGGGGCTGAAGGAGCAGTTACAGGAAGGTACGATTTTGTTGGAGGAGGATAAGGGGAGCATGAAGCTTTAGAGAAACTGTAGTGTCTGGACAGGACCAGCTTTCTTTTTTTCAAAGATTTTATTCATTTATTTGAGAGAGAGCACAAGCGGCGGGGAGGGCAGAGGGAGAAGCATACTCCCAGCTGAGCAGGGAGCCTGACTCGGGCCAAATCCCAGGACCCTGGGATCATGACCTGAGCCAAAGGCAGACGCTTAACTGACTGAGCCACCTAGGCGCCCCCAGGACCAGCTTTCTTGAAGCTAACCAAACCCCAAGGCAGTTTAGGCAAAAAAGGGCACTGATTATCTCCCCAAACCAGGAAGCACCAGTATGGCTGGATCCAGGGCACAGGTGCTGCCTCTACCCCTCAGCCCCTGATTGTCCAGCTGGCTCTTCCCCTTGCAGCCACGTGATGCTCCCCCTACACAGCTCCAGACGTCCCTCCTTGGAGTTCCTTCAGAAGTCCCAGGGCAGGCTCTCATTGGGCCAGTGTGGTAACATGTCCATCTGGGAGCCAATCATGTGGTGGTTCAGAGGCAGGGAAGTGCTGATTGGCAGGGCCTGTGGGACACACTCCTCTTGGGAGGGATGATAGGATAAGTGGGAGAGTGTGGACCAGCATGGGGATGGATCAGGAAGGAGAACAGAGCCCACACAAGTATTGGAGCCTTGGAGGGGTCACCCTGGGTTTGGTGATCAGGACACAATGGATTCTGTCTGATTGGGCTATTGTCAGCAGTGATCATGGTGTGTGAGCAGCCTTCTGGAGGCTAGAGTCAGGCCCACCCTTCTCTCCTGTCCTTCCTTTCAGGGATGAGCACACCAGGCTCCTCACCACAGCACCGCCCAGCTGGTGTCAGCCCATTGTCCCTGAGCACGGAGACAAGGAGGCAGCAGGCCCAGCAGGTGTCACCCACCCTCTCCCAGCTGTCACCCATCACTCAGGTGTGAGGGCTTGGGGGGGTGGGGGAGGTGTGGCCAGCTCTACCCCTCTGGGAGACCTCCCTCTCCTTCCTGGGGGCTATAGAATCCTGAAGACAAAGGTTCCCAACACTTTTGGCTGTTTGTCAAATTTTCAAACATACAGAAATGCCTTCATTACTGGCCTGTAGTCTCCTGTACCTGTCATGGGCAGATCGTGTGACTCTTCTTCGTTGTGTTACTTTCCCTCGAGGGTCTAGTTGTTTAGAGAGTTATTTTTTTAAAGATTTTATTTATTTATTTGACAGAGACACAGTGAGAGAGGGAACACAAGCAGGGGGAGCGGGAGAGGGAGAAACAGGCTCCCCGCCGAGCAAGGAGCCCGATGCGGCACTCGATCCCAGGACCCTGGGATCATGACCCTAGCCGAAGGCAGATGCTTCATCAACTGGAGCCACCCAGGCGTCCCTAGAGAGTTATTATTTTTTTTTTTTTTTCAGTTTACCATAATTTTGTTTCATCTGCTTTTTTGGTAGCTCGTGTGTGTTTAGGAATTGATCTCTTTAATCTAGTTATTCATTGTGCTGGCATATGATCATTCATAGCACTCAATCATTTTCATTTTCTGAAGTCCATAGTAATATTCCCACTTTCATTTCTGATTTCAGGAATTTGATTCTTTTTTACTTAGTTTAGGCCCACAAAACAGGTTAGGAAGTGTTCCCTCCTCTCTTTTCTTGGGAAGCGTTTAAGAAGCACTGGTGTAAACTCTTTAAATATTTGGTAGAATTCACCAGCAAAGCCACTGGTCTGAGCTTATCTTCATTGGGAGGGTTTTTTTTTTTTTTAAGTTTTTATTTAAATTCCAGTTCGCATACAGTGTTCTAGGAGTTTCAAGTGTACAATATAGTGATTCATCACAACAAGTATACTCCTTAATCCCCATCACCTATTTCCCCCATCCCCCCACCTACCTCCCCTTTGGTAACCAGCAATTTATGCTTTATAGTTGGGTCTGTTTCTTGGTTTGTCTCTCTCTCTTTTTTACCCCCGCTTTGCTTGTTTTTTCTGTTTCTTAAATTCCACATATGAGTGAGATCATGTGGTATTTGTCTTTGTCTGATTTATTTCACTTGGTATTATACTGTCTAGGTCCGTCCATGTTGTTGCAAATGGCAAGATTTCATCCTTTTTTAATGGCTGAATAATACTCCATTGTATATATACCACATCTTCTTCACCTGTTTATCAATCAGTGGACACTTGAGCTGCTTCCATAATTTGGCTGTTGTAGATAATGCAGCTGTAGACATTGGGGCACATGTATCCCTTTGAGTAAGTATTTTTGTGTTCTTTGGGTAAAGACCTAATAGGGCGATTGCTGGCTTGTAGGGTAGTTCTATTTTTAACTTTTTGAGAAACCATACCGGTTTGCATTCCCACCAACAGGGCAAGAGGGTTCCCCTTTCTCCTCATCCTCGTCAACACCTGTTGTTGCTTGTGTTGTTGATTTTAGCCATTCTGACTAGTGTGAGGTGATACCTCTTTGTAGTTTTGATTTGCCTTTCCCTGATGATGAGTGATGATGTTGAGCATCTCTTAACGTGTCTGTTGTCCATGTGTATGTCTTCTTTGGAAAAATATCTATTCATGTCTTCGGCTCATTTTTTAATTAGACTATTCATTTCTTGGGTTTTGAGTTTTGTAAGTTCTTTATACGTTTATACGTTTTGGATACTACCTTTATATGTTTGGATACTACCTTTTTCAGAAATGCCATTTGCAAATATTTTCCCTTCGGAGGTTTTTGATTACTGATTAAATCTCCTTTCTTGATATAGGTCTATTCAGATTTTCCATTTTTTCTTGGATCAGTTTGGTAGGTTGTGTGTTTCTAGGAATTTTTCCATTTTGTCTATTTTTTTTAAATCCCTAATAGATAATATTTTTGTTGTTTGTTTTTTAACATAACCTCAGTGGCATTGTCCACCTCCAACAAAACTGACAGGCATTCCTCCATACCCTCCAACGCCTGGCCTAGGCCCGGTTCTCCTCTATGTCTCTGTCTACTTGTTCAGACCGGGATCCAAACAGAGGCACAGGTAGCTCTCCATCTGTGACCCCTGCTCCTTCTCCCCTCTCCCTTAAACCTGCCTTCCTTTTCTAGAGACTCCTTTTTTGTTCATGAAGTAACCACCGCTTATTAGAGGCCGGGCATTCTGCGAAGTATTATATCCTGTAGCGCCTGGTCGCACGCTGCCTCCCTCGGAGGGCAGGAGCCCTGGCCTGCCCCGGGAGCTGTCTGTAGATTCACAAATGTTGAAAACTTCCCTCTAACCAGGGAAAACTTTTCCTCTTTCCAACTCCAAGAAGACCTGAGCTGGTCATGACCGAGTGGCCACACCAGCGCGTCCATCACCCGCACCGTCTCCAACCCCCGCAGAGTTGGGCTAGGTGCAGGCTGCCTGCTGGGTTGCCGGACTGTGGTGCCCTGTGCCTGCCTGCAGTGGGCAAACTCTAGCTCAGAGAGGCCAGGGACCTCCTGGGCCTGAGTGGGTACGGAAGGTGGTGCCCACCTCTCCGTGTGTGGCAGAGACAAAGGAAAGGCTCACTGGGGGCAGGGCACTTCCAGCTGGATGAAAAGTCCCGGCCCTGTCCAGCTGCAGCCTAACCCTCTGTGGCCCTGGGCGAGGCCTGCCCTCTCTAGGCCTGTGCTTCTCCGGTCCAGGGTCTGGATGTCCCTTTGTTTATCCATGACATCTTTGCTGAGCATGTCAGGTCATGGGGTGTCCCCAGGGCCCAGGTACTCCCAGCCTGGCCCCCGCTGCCTAGTGGCCTCCCACCTGACGCCCTCCTCTTCCCCCAGGCTGTGGCCATGGATGCCCTGTCTCTGGAGCAGCAGCTGCCCTACGCCTTCTTCACCCAGGCGGGCTCCCAGCAGCCTCCGCCGCCGCAGCCCCAGCCCCCTCCTCCGCCGCCGCCCGCGTCCCAGCAGCAGCCGCCCCCGCCACCCCCGCAGGTGCCCGTCGGCCTCCCCCCAGGCGGCCCCCTGATGCCAAGTGCCAGCTTGACGCGGGGGCCCCAGCTGCCCCCGCTCGCGGTCACGGTACCGTCCTCTCTCCCCCAGTCCCCCTCAGAGAACCCGGGCCAGCCGCCAATGGGGATCGACATTACCTCGGTAAGCCCAGGGTGGGGTTTTGTGGGGCCTGGCTGGGGGGCTCATGCAGGAGGAACCCAGGGGCTGTGGGAGGCCCCCATTGGGCTCCCAAGGCCCAGAAACACTCAGGCGTCTGGCCTAAGCCTTCTCGACGTTCCACTTCAAGGCTAACTTGGCCAGGGGTCAGAGCTGAAGCAAACTGCTGGGCTGAGGTCTCATCCCATGTATAGATGGGGAGGCTGAGACTCGAGCAGGAATCATTTGCCCCAACTTCACCCAAGATGGGCCACCCTGTGTCTGACTGCCAAGGCTCTCCCATGGCCCTTGATGCCTAGTACTTCAACCCTTCCCGCCTGAAATGGCTTCCTTGGGGGCAGGGAGGGCTCAGAACTCTCAGGGCTTGCGGAACAGATCCTGGGAGCCAGAAGCACAGAGGGGAACTTGGAGGAGGAGAGCTAAAGCACCCCTGTGGTTCATGCAGCACAGTGCCCTGGGCCCAGAGGTGCAATTTAGACCACGGGACCCCTTGCCTGGGCCTGGGCTCGGGGTAATGGGTGCTAGGTTTCGACCTTTGCACTCCCAAAGCTTCTTGATTGTTCGGGCTTTTGTCCTGGTGGCAAGGGGGTGGTCAGAGCTTACCTTTGGCCATATCCAAGGAACTGGGACCACGTTTGGGGTACAGCAAGCTCTCTCCACTCAGCCCTTGGCTGCCAACCCCAAGATAAATGTCATCAGAATATCCTGTGCTCTGCAAAGACTACCCCCCTGAGCTGGGCAGGGTGGGTGAATAGAGACCTGTTTCCAAGCTGCTCTGACCCCTCATAGGGCAGACCCCAGAGGTCCCCCAGATAGGAACGCACGCAAGCTCTGATGGTGGAGCCTGCCTGGAGTACCTCATTCCCTGACGCCCTCCACCAGCGGTACCTCACTTTTGAGCCGGGCAGACAAGGGAGGCAGGGGTGTCCGGGGCACAGGCATTACCCCCAGGCTTGCAGGCAGGCGCGTCTGCTGCCAGGCGCCCCTACCAGGGACTTCTGGCTGCCTTGGGGCAGGGGCTCTGGTGGCCTCTTCCTTGGTCTGTGCTGACTCAGCCAAGCAAGGAGAATGTCCCTCTGGACATTTTCTTCTTTTCAACTCTGAGAAGGTCCAAGCCAGTCACTGCCAAGTGACCGTGCTGGCACCTCCAACACTGATACCTTGTTAATTGAGCCCCCATGCCCCACCCGGGCTCAGTCCCTACCCCAGACTACTTAGAACGGGCCACTGAGGAAATGGGGGAGACCGAGCGTTTATGGGGCCCTGGGCTGGTCGTCCGGGCCTTGGTGAACAACAGGCCCGGAGAGATCAGGCAGCCTGTGCAGAGGCACACAGTGGGTCCTGGCTGGACTGGGAACAGAGCAGGGTCTAAATCCAGGTTCCTGACCCAGCCCATCCTGCCCCTGGTGAGAAGCTAAGGCCCTCTCTCCTTCGGGTGAGGAGGTTGCTGTCCCTTGGAGGTCTCTGGACAGCATACCCATCAGGTTTGTCCCAAGTGATGCTGCTGATAGTGACTGCCCAGTAGTGGGTGTCCTGCAGCGTGCCCCGGGTGGCCTTTGCTGTCGTCCCGCCTCTGCTGGAGGTGGGCAGGATGTGCCAGCACGCAGAGCTGGAGCTCAGAGAACTGAGGGCGTTGCCCGGAGTAGGCAGCAGAAGGCGGCACGTCCCTGCCCCGCCCTGGGCCTCCTGTGCACACCTGGGTGTGGGTGTGTTTGTACACACGTGTGGCTGTGTGCACACCTGTATGGGTGTGGGCGTGCGTGCGTGCGGGTGCTCTGGAGCCCGCCGTGCCCCTCCCACAGCCCTCCAGTATGATCCATGAAGCTGGGTTCTCTGACCAATGCCACCCCCCGCCGGGAGCCCCAAAAGGCCCCAGGCTCAGACAGGGCTCAGGGACCCACACCTGTTGCAGGTGCTCCCGATACTCTGCTCACCCGATAGGTGCGGGGGAGGGGGGCGTCTTTGGGGGTGGTGCCCAGTGGGGAATGGCCAGCCCCAGGACGCCAGGCCTGGGGCCCCTCGCGCGTCCTGACCTGTCTGTCGTCGCAGGCGCCGGCTCTGCAGCAGTACCGCGCTAGCGCCGGCTCCCCGGCCAACCAGTCTCCCACCTCACCTGTCTCCAATCAAGGCTTCTCCCCCGGGAGCTCCCCACAAGTAAGGGACGCCGCCGCCCCTCGCCCAGCGCCCGGCACTCTGGCCCTGCTTCGCGCCCCCCCCCGTAGCGACCCGCCCGCCGTCTGTGCCTCACGCCTCATTCCACGCCATCTCGTCCGCCCCGGCGGGCAGGGAGCACGAGGCGCGGCCACGTGCCCGCGGGCCCGTCTGGGGGTGGTGGGCTCCTCACTCACACTAGGGACCTTCGTGTCGGCCACACCCTGGCCTCTTGCCCGGCAGTCAGGGCCCCCTCAGCCTGCGGCTCAGAGCACGTGTCCGACAGCATCGGGGCTCCCAGAAGTGGAGGGGTTCTCCTCCCGCCGTGGGGCGCAGCTGAGGTGACAGCTGGCCTGTGGTTGGGGCCCTGAGTCCTCAGATCGTTCTCCCCTCTGCCTCGCTGGAAGGCAGGTCCTCACAGGGAGCTTTTCTGAGTGGCACTGCAGCCTCTCAGGGGCCTCTGTCCCCGTCTCAGCAGAGGAGGAGACTGAGGCTTGCCCCAGGCAACAGAAGGGCTTGACCACATCCATCAGACTTGGGTTTTCCCCCAACACCATTGGACCCCAGCCTCTGACACATGTACATGCACACATACCCCCCTCCAGGTTCCTCAGAATTCTCCTTAGCACCGCTCTCAGCCCATGGCTGAATTCTATCTGGAACATTCCACCAGAGGAGAAGAGGTGCCTACAAAGCTGACATCTGGGCTCAGAATTTCGATGCTGCAGAGCCTCCTCAGGACCCCACCACCCCATCCCCAAAACGTCACCAAGCTGAGAGACTCCCAGGAGCTGCTGCCACAGGGCAGTGCCCGAGGCCCTGAAGCCTCATTCTTGGCCCAGGGGGGCGACAGGATTTTCCTTCCCTGCTAAGGAAGGGAGAGGACCTGTCCCACCAGGCAGGACCATGCAAGAACAATGTCGGGCTCCCTTGTCCCAGGGGGACATGCCCTGCTGTCCCCACTTCCCCAGTTCTCAGAAGTGCACCCAAGTTGGGCGCTGTATTGAGATGGTGGGTGTCCTGTTGAGGAAGGCTGCTCTCATGGTTCCATCTGCTATAGGAGGAGCTCTTCTAGGACGCTTCCTCCACCACCCCACAGTGGCCTGGGGTCCTGCTGGGACCATCCGTGTGCAGCTTCCTGCTCCAGAGGCAGGTGGGGAGGGCATCCGTGAGCTCAGGGCAGGCCAGAGGTCAGCCTGGTGTCTGCAAGCTCTAGGTACATCCACACCGGCTCCCAGCTCTTGTGGCTCCCGAAAAGCGTCTAGTCGTGTCGTGTGGTGTCATGGAATGCTGAGGAATGGGAGAAGCAGGTCAGGCAGGGGAAGTGGCAGGTGGGGCCTGTTCCTGGGGCTGGTCCTTGAGTAATGTCTCTTTTTACACAGGAAGCAGGACAGGAATTCAAGGGTGGAGCAGATTTCTCAGGAGAGATTTGCCTATACCAAAGTGGGCTCATCCATCCTAGGCAGAAAGTGTGTTGCCGTCTCGTCAAGCCCAAGTCTGTGTGTTGGTCTATCCATCCATTCACTGGGGTGCTGGCAAGGGAGGCAGGCAGCTCGAGTGGCTGTGAGGACAGGGCTGTCAGGTTGTCTGGACTCAACCAGACCTGGGTTTAAGATGGCCAAGAGGCTCACTTGGGGGCAGACCGTGCTGGGTGGAGGCCAGGCCTGGCTTCGTACTGCAGCTGGGTCCCTAGGTTGCATTCAGTGGCCCTGTGGGCCAGGGCCTCCTCCCCTTTCCTCCCCAGCCTCGCCAGCCTCGAGTGCACATTGTATCTGTCTGACCGTACCCTGGGCCTTAGGCAGCTGGCCTTCGGTACTGTGTTCCTCCCTTCCATTCTGAGTGGACCTTTCTGGCAAACTCATGGCAGCCTCACAAAAGAAACCTTAGCCTGGGTCCTCTGCTTGTGATGGGCCCCTTTGAGGCCAAGGCCGTGGGGATAGATACAGATACCCCAGAACAGACCTGCTTCCTCCTTAATGGGGAACCCTAGCCACAACCTTGCAGCCCCCTTTTCCAAACCTGAAGCTGGCTATAGTTAGGGCAAAGGTGGCATTTTTTCTTTCTGCTCTCAGCTCACTCACCAAGGAGGAAACAGACTCAGGTCTGGGCTGCGGATATGTTTCCTGAGGCCCGGTGCCCCATGTGAGGTCTGGCCACACATTGGCTGTCCCTTCTCCCTTGCCCATCCCACCAGGCTCCATCCTGCCGTCTCTCTCTGGAATCATGGGAGCAGGCAGGGGCTCCAAGCTCCTGTTCCTGGCATCTCTACTGCCTGTGAGGGTCCCCAGTCTGTTGCTCTTCTCCCAGGAGCAGACCTGGCCCCCAGCTGGCCTTGGAAGAGCAGGAGATGGGCTTCCTGCCCACCCATGGGCCTTGAGATCCCCCAGGCTGGCAGCCAGGGCAGATAGCCAGGCAGGGGGGCTTTCCGTGTGCCTGTCCTGTGCTCACTCGGCTGGTATCCGGCTCCGTGCACCCGTCCTGTCCACGTGTATATGGCCTGCCACCATGTCCCATGTCTCCCTGGGGGCTTGACAAGGGTCACCAAGTGCACTGCCCTTCCTGAAATTCAGAACACCCCCCACCCTGGCCCCGGTCACGTGTTTTCCTCTGGACCCTGTCGGGGGTTTCCTGATCCCTGTGCCCCCCCATCTTCTATCTGATAGAAACAGGGTCACCCATACCTGGGCTCAAGTAGAGAAGATGGGGGGATGGTGCTTTGGGGGATATTGGGGTACAGAGGCCCCCCCCGGAGCAGGTGGTGGAAACATCCTGAGATTGGGGGACACCCCTCCATCCTGGAAGGTGTGGGCTCTCCCAGGAGGCCTGTAATAGGTGCTCAGCCTCCTTTATTCTGAGCATCCTATTGGAGGTTCCAGGGGCCTCCCTATGGGCACAAGCAGCCTGTGGGAGGTCCTCCGCCCCGGCAGACCCTGACCTGGTCTTGGGGACAGTGATGACAGCAGGCCTCTCTTCTGTCTGCAGCACTCCTCCACCTTGGGCAGCGTGTTTGGGGACTCGTACTATGAGCAGCAGATGGCGGCCAGGCAGGCCAATGCTCTGTCCCACCAGGTGAGCGGGTGCCCGGGTCACAGCGCCCACAGCAGACGCTCACCCGGACCCCGCCCGCCCCTCGGGCCTGAGCTTCGCTCCTAGGGCTCCCTCCTGTCTCTAGGCCTTGGAGGGCGTGGCTCGGCTTGGCCTCCCCAGGCCCCTGCACCGGGCCCACAGAACGAGGCCAGCGGCAGAGGGGGAGGAAGGGTGGGCAGCGAACACCGGCAGGGACAGGTTGGCGCCTGTGGCATTGGCGCCTCAGCCTGGGCCGTGCATGTGGGTTTGCTGGGAGGCGGAACTGGCTTGGCGTGGAGGTCAGGGTCAAGGGCATGTGGGCATGAGAAGGGCTGGCCGCTTCCTGGAGCAGGTCACTCACCCGTCCATCCTTCCATCAATCCATCCATCCAGCAAGCCCTGACGGGGCCGTATGTGGACAGGCCCGGGCAGGTTCAGAGAGGAAGGAGGGGGAGACCTTAGGGCATAGAGTCTCCTATTCAACAAGCCCTCAGTGTCTGAGCACAGGCGCCGGGCATCTTGCAGAGGAGCTGGTCCCGGCTGCTGCAGGACAAGCCAGCCAGCAATAGCCAGGGGCTCTGCAGGGCCGGCCTCATGCCTGTGTGCTTCCTCCCCCAGCTGGAGCAGTTCAACATGATGGAGAATGCCATCAGCTCCAGCAGCCTGTACAGCCCGGGCTCGACGCTCAACTACTCGCAGGCGGCCATGATGGGCCTCACGGGCAGCCACGGGAGCCTGCCGGACACCCAGCAGCTTGGCTACCCCAGCCACAGCAGCATCCCCAACATCATCCTCACAGGTGAGGCCACCTGGCCGTGGCGTCCTAGGTGGGGGTCTTGGGCAGAGTGCCTCCAGGGGGCCTGGCAGCTGCAAGGGGCCTCATCCCCAGAAGAGATGGCACCCCCGCCCTGCAGGATGAGGAGACCAGAACCCCACCAACCTTGACTCATTGCTGGGCTGTGTGGAACAGGCCCCCGGGGACACACTGGACCCTGGACCAGGCTTCCCGTATCCCGTTCTCAGAGCAAGAGCAGGCGGAGCGGGTCACTCACCCAGCCCTGCGTCTGCTACCCAGGTCCCTCAACCCCATTAGCTGAGTATACTGGAATCACAGGTGACTGGGGGGGTGGGCCCTGCCTGGCAGGGCTTGTCACAGTCAACGGGCATGGAACAGCTCGCACACACTGCAGTGAGCATCCCCGAACAGCCTGAGCACAGCACGTGTGAGTCAGTCCCTGCTCCATGTGGCATAGAACCCAGACCCTTTGCTGCCTCCGCCCCACCCGGTAGGTTCTGGGTTTTATTGAAAGAAGCAATTTCCTTATAAGCCAGGACTATCTGAGGTTTGAGAGTGACACTCTCTGGTGGTCCCACTGACATCTCCAGGATGGAGGAGTCCATGCCCAGAGCCACCCTTAACCCCCCCCACCCCAAGGCGTAGTGCTTCCTCCCTACCTCAGGGGTGAGCAGTGGTCTGCAGTAGATGCTCTGGGGGCCGTAGCTTCAGACGCATGAGAAGGCTTAGGTCCCTGTGATTGCCCCAGTAGCCCAGAAAGACCAGGATTTTCATACCCATGTCTCAGATTGGGAAACTAAGGCCTAAGGTGTCACTACAAGTAGAGGAGAGAGCTCAGGTTTGAACCCGGGTCTTTGGTGGGGGGGTAGGGGGGAATTCACACACACCTCAGTCTGCTTCTCAGGATGCACACAGAGGAGATGTCCTGGCAGAGCAGGAAAGGCCCCTGCCCCTGCCAGCTCACGCTGAATGTTTGTGACCTAGGTCTCAGCCCAGGGCTTCCCAGCCTTGGCACTGCTAACACGTGGGGCTGGATCTTTCTCTGGGGGGTGGTGGGGGCTATCTTGTGCATTCCGAGGTGCTGAGCAGCATCCCTGCTCCCCACCCACCTGATGCCAGTAGCATTTCCTCTTCTCCAGTCATGACAACTAAAAATGCCCCTAGACATCGCCAGTATATAACCCCCAGAGGGTGAACCCCCAGGTAAGTACTCCTGGGGTGGCCCAAGGCCCTCTTCCCTGAGCATTGACAGGGTCCATGGGGGCACAGGGCATGGGAACAGAGAGCCAGGGCCATGATGAGACTTCTGTCCTATTCCCCCCCACCTTCCCCGCCCAGTGACGGGAGAGTCCCCTCCCAGCCTGTCTAAAGAACTGACCAGCACACTGGCCGGGGTCGGTGACGTCAGCTTCGACTCCGACAACCAGTTCCCCCTGGACGAACTCAAGATTGACCCCCTGACCCTGGACGGACTGCACATGCTCAACGACCCCGACATGGTCCTGGCCGACCCGGCCACCGAGGACACCTTCCGGATGGACCGTCTGTGAGCTGCACACCCGGCACATCGCCGCCCAGCCCCCGGCTCCATCACCCCGCCGGTCAGTGGTCCCGACGGCGTCTCCCTGAGCCCAGGGACGGCCGCGCTCCGTCCTTCGCAAACGGCCGAGCTTGTGATTCTGAGCTTGCAATGCCGCCAAGCGCCCCCTGCCCACCCGCCCGCCCCCCCAGCTGTCCACCTCCCTCGGGAGGCCGCGTGTCACCCCCGCGGACCCTCCCTGCGCGTGCTCTCTCGCCCCCCACCCTGGGCCATGAGCCGTCCCCCCTGTAAGATGCGGAAAGTGTGTTGGGCAGGGCCGCCGGCCTGGAGGGGGCGCTGTGGTCCACGGCGGCAGTGGGCTGAGGTGCATTTTCCGACTGTTGTCCAGCTCTCACTGCCTTCCTTCGTTCCTGGTCCTCCCCCTACCCGCCCGGCCACCCCCCAGCCTGAGGTTAGGTAGCAAGCCAGCCTCCCCCACTCCCCGCCCCGCCAAAGGGAGAAGGTGCCAGAGAGAGGGGCAGACACAAAGTGAAATAAACACTATTTTGACTGCTGTCTTTTATATTTCTGAGCACATTCAGAGAATGCTAGAGTCCGTCCCATGGAGGTAGACTATAAAAGGTGTGAACAGAGCATGCAAAGCAGCTAAATCTTCCTGGGACCCACACACCTGCTTTGCCCTCCCCCAGCCAGGTCCCTCTGTGGCCACCTTTGCCCTGAAAGTGAAGCCCCTGGCCAGGATGAAGGGGCCTGCCAGGGGATGCATGTGGAGACGGGGGTTATTTCTGGGGGTTGTTTTCGTCTCTCAACTTGTTTTCATCTTTTCTTCTCTGTACCGTGGTCACTGTTACTGTTATTTAAAGAACGGGCTGGGGAGGGGGTGGCCAGGGCATTTTTTGTTGTGTTTTTGTTTGTTTCTTTTGGTTTGTATTTACACTTTGGTTGTAGACGAGTAGCTGACTCCTTCAATCCAACACTTGCCTGAGAGCATGTTTTTATTCCAGATATCCCATGTTATATATTTTTTAAGCTAACTGGAAGCAGGCTCCTGCCTGCAGGGTCTGAGCTGAGTCTCCGGCCGCTTTCGCTCAGGCCCGCGCTATCTCGAAATGGAAGGGCTGAGTGAGGGCGGGTTGGGCCTGGTAGGGTCTCTGGCAGAAGCTCGAGGTGGCCGGGGGTGCCGTACCCTCCAGCCACGTGTCAGACTCCCAGGAAGGAGCCACGGCTTTTATTAAGGGTCCCTCGAAGACCCAGCTCTGCCTGGTCATCCTCAAGGTGCCTGCCAGTCCTCAGGGAGGGCTAGTCCCAGACCCCGAGGCTGGCGGCGGCAGCAGCCCCTCTGCCCTGATGCACCCCAGCGATGAGGTGCCCCCTCGCCGCGAGACCCAGCTGACAGTCGTCCCCGCCAGCCGCCCCTTCAACGGCCCCTCTGGGCAGGGCTGGCTCCGGAGGAAAGAGCAGTGTGCGTTGTAGCAGCGGCGTTCCGGGAGGCTGAGGTGACCATCAGGGCTCGGACCGTGCTGGGCGCTGTCCCTGTGCCCTCCAGGCCCTGGGAGGGGGTGACAGGGGTGTCTTTGTTTTCGGTCAGCTGCTCGGAGATGGGAACTTAGTTTCGGTCCCTCCGAAGCCGCATCATCTTGAGTGCTCGGCCTGCAGGCCGGGCCGGCACCTTCTGCGCGGTGCGCATCTCTCCGTGTGGTGTCGCGGCCACTGCCTCTAGGTGTCACGAGCCCTCGGCTCTGTCCGTGCGGGAGCCAGATTTCATCCTAGCGACATCCCTCCCTCTCGTCCCCTGGGCCAGGCTCGTAGCACCTGGCCAAGCGACTGGGCGGCCACAGGTGTGAGAAGGCCCCCTCCTCCGTCAGGTGGCCCCTGCTGCCTGCGTCTGGGCTGGGGGACACGGGGTCAGTCCGTCCAGGTCGAGGGCCCAGCCTCTTACTGAGGCAGGGGCTGGGAGCAAAGAGTGAGACTTTTTTTTTTTTTTTTTAAAGAAAAAACTACATGTACATAGAAGAGTTTGATTACCATTAGACTTGTGTGTAGAACTTTTTAAAAAATGGCCTTAATAAAATTACAAGCAACCTTCCTGGATGCAATTTTCAAACGAGGCATTGGGGACCCCCGTGAGGGAGCCTCGTCAGCCCCTACTTCCCGTCTGCTCGGCGCCCGGTTCTCAGTGCAGATGGGCAGGAGAGGGAGGGTGTCCACCCCTGCAGCCTGTGTCCAGCATCCCCTTGGCTAGGGGGCACAGGTGACATTGTATTTATGTGGCCACTTTGGCCCAGGAGGGGCATAGGTGCAGTTTTCCCAGGGAGGGGGTCCCAGCCAGGAGCCAGTGGCCAGGCGTCCCTGTGTCCTCAAAAAGGTTCACACCCCTGCCTGGGCCTGGGCAGGCCTCCTGAGGTCTGCAACAGGGGATTTTGCTTATTTCTTAAATACTGCTTCTCTACTAAGTATTCTTGAATTGCCAAGATTTCCCAAAACAGGACAGCCTAAGGGAACCAGCCCTTTGACTTGTGATGTGAAAATACTGTGATTTCAGACGAGCCGCGCCGTGAGGGGTGGGCCGGGGCCCCGGAATATTGTACATAGACCCGCCGCCTGTGTCCTCGCTCGCTCGCTCGCTCGGGACAGGCCTGGATGCTCAGCCCACGTGAAGTCAGAGGCCAAGCCAGTCTGTCCCCCTGCCGCTGGCCCTGAGTTCTCCCGATTTCAGTCCCCTCAGCTATGGGAACTTCTGCCCCGGGAACAAGCCAAATAGTGTGTTCCCACCTGCCTCAGTTTACCCTCTGTCCCCCAAGCCCCCAGGACAGTGAGTTGTTTACCCCCAGGGAGGTTTGTGGGCCAAAGTAGAGCCCGGGATCAGCCCCTCTCTGTGTCCTCCAGAGAAGAGGGCTTGTGTCCCTGCCCCCTCAACACCCACCCATCAGAGTCACCCCCCCCCCCCAGTGTCCAGGGCTGACGTCGGGGAGGAGAAGGGGTCTTGTCAGGATCGTATTCCCTGTCACAGGTACCCATGCCAACCTCCATCCCCACTGAGTCCTTACCAGGGGGAAGATAGGCAGCGTTCTTCGGGACATCCTGCAGCCCCCTCCCTGTTCTCCCCACACACCCTGCTTCCTCCCGACACTCTTCTGGGCAGGAAGGGTTGGGGGGGTGCCAACCTCTTGGGGCAAGGGACGCTGAGACCCTCAGTGGAAAGCTCAGGAGGCAGGTTGACCCTTCAGCAAAATTTAGGGGCCCACAGCTGACAGCATCCAAAAACTGTCTATGCTCCCCTGTGGGGGACAAGCCAGAGCAGAAGGGGCCCTAATTGGGGTGAGTCCAGCCCCCCCTGCCCCTGTGGCCCTTTCCCCAGCCACACCTCCACGCAGACCTCCCTGCTGGCTTCTGAGCCACCTGCCTGCCCCGGGGGTGTGCCTTGAGGGCAGGGGTCCTGCCTTTGCAGCACCTTTCTGGTCTCGTCTATTTGTGGGTTTGAGGGGGCTGGGAAGAAGGGTTCTGTCTGTGTGTTTGGCCTGATTTCTTTGGGTGGCTGAGATCCCCAGAGGATGCCTAGCCGGGTGGACCCTGTTGTGAGGCCCATGCGTCATAGTGGGGCAGGCAAGGACGGGCGTCCAACTCCAGGAGACCCCCACGTGGAGGGTGAGAAGGCTCCACGTCCATCCAGATGTGCAGGGCTGCGTGCCAGGTGCTGGCTGTGGCCCGGTCAGGCAGGACGGGAGCCGGTGCCAGGACTGTGGGGAGCTGGGCTGCCTTCTCCCCCACCCAGCATCCTGGGCCTGATGAGCCCCCGTGAGGGACCGTCCTTGGGCCCTCAGGGGAGCTGAGGACACACGGGAATGTGCCCCCCTCCCCAGGCCTCCACATCTCAGCCAACCCCCAGCTGGTTCATAACCAAACATCCTTCCAGACTCCCACCCCCCAAATGGATTCTGGGTTTTCTGCATTTCCAAAGAAGGCATCCCCACTCCTGGGTACAGGCTGGGTGTGGTAAGGCCTGGTGGTATTGGGGGGCCCTCCCCCCCCAACCCTGCTCCTGACAAAGCAGCAGCAGCACCCATCACCCTCCCTGGGTTCTGATGGAGCTGTAGTTAAGAGGCCACAGAGGGTGTGGGGGCTGCAAGGTCAAGGGTACCCCGTGCCCCTCGTCTTGGCCCATCACTCCTGCAGGTGGCGCTCCAGGTAAGGGAGCTTTGGCCACCTGAGCCCTTCCCACTTGGCTTGCAGAGCTGTGGGGTGGGGGGGTGGGGGGGGTTCTGTGTTCTTTGCCCACTGCTGGAGGACTGCCTGGGGTGAGTGGGCAGCTGGGTCTGTTGCTGCCCCACCTCCTGGGGGTTCCTGGGACATTCCCCCATCAGGCCCTGCCCAGCCAGAGCTGACTCTCTGTTCTTGGTTTCTCTTGGCCTTTGGCCTCCAGGGGTCCTGGTTGGGTGGGGCTCAGGCACCTCTCATCACCCTTCGTGTGCCACATTCTCTCTGAAGTGGCCACTCCCCAGGAGGGAGGTGGGGTGACCTGTACCTTCAGGCCTGGGCGCTGGAGTACTCTGAGAGGTATGGGGGAGGGGAGGGTAATGGGAAAAAGGCCCTTGTGACCCAGGCCTCAGTTTCCCTCCGTCATTGGCTCAGACCCCATGGGTCTTGGGGCCTCAGGCTCCTCCCTGGCAGGGTCAGGGGTAGGGGCTGGACATGAGAGTGATGCTGGCTTCAGACAGTTTCCCCCTGTCTTCTGCCCTCTTGGCCAGCCCTCCACACCCTGTCCCAGGATGCCAGGGACACATGGTACCTGCGGGGGAGGGGTGTTGCCAGGGGAGGGTTCTGGAGCTTGGCAATCAATGCCCAATCCATCCTAGCCCATCACTTCTGACCTCTTGCCCACTCGGGACAGGTGGACACAGCTGTGGCCTTTGCCACTAGGCCCCGAGAGGAGGGCTTTGGCAGCCAAGGTCCACCAGCCCCTCTGTGCCCCACCATAGGAAACTGCCCCCCAGGGGGCCGGGCAGGCCCACTGATATATGCAAACCACTGGTCCGAGCCCTGCTCCGCCTGTGTTCTTCTGTCCCCAGGCTGGCTCTGCCCCCCTCCTCCCCCCAGCATGTACACTCTGCTGTGGATGTCCCGTGGGCCGTGGGTTGGGTGCCCATGGCGGGTGGGGGCGGGCGGCTCAGGGCGCACTCGGCCGGCCCCTGCCCATCCTCTCTGGCGTGGACGCTTTTGTCTTTGTACCTTTGCATCCTTTGTAATGAAACATAATAAAAATCCAATGTTTTCGTCTCTGCCTCCTCCCCTTTTTTCCCCCCACAACGGGGATGGAACATGGGCCTAGTGGGATATGCCAGGTGGGAGCCACACACAGGCACCCCCCCACACACACACATGAATATGGACACACAGGCGTGAGCCCCTCATCCCCAGCCCTAGCCAGCTAGTTGGGCCTAATGTCTGGAAGGGGAAGGACCCCACCCCCACCCCCACTCCAGGATTCTGGAGCAGGCACTCGGTGGGATCCAGGCCCATGACCTCAAGTGGGTAGGATGCAGCAGCAGGCCTGGGGCCTCCCACATTGGGGTTGGACACTCCTAGTCAGGTTGTTGGGCCCTAGCCAGTCAGGAAGGGAGTCAGCGGCAGGCCTGGGTTTGGGTCCTTTCCCAGTGCTCCCTCAGAGGCCCCACCCCACCTGCAGCAGAGCTCGCAGCCAGCCACTCCAGCACACACACTTTATTCTGTCCTCTCTGAGCCCCTCTAGGGCAGCCACCCCCTGGAGCCGGGTGTTGAGTTCCCTGCTTGTCGCAGTAAGGGCGGCCACGATGGTCGCCAACTTCCAGCAATGGATCCCCACCCCCATCCCTAGGCCTGCAGCAGCCTCTGAGTCTCGTAGTCCTCTGGGATGGTGTCTGCGGAGAAAGGGCAAGCAAGGGAGAAGGGGTGAGCTGGGGCAGGATGAACTCCCCGCCCTCCCTGGCGGGATGCTCCCCTCACCATTGCATCGGTAGCGTAGATTGGCCCAGATGATGTTCTCTTGGGAGAAGCAGAAGACGCCCAGGCGGCCACCCCGCATGGTTGTGTCCAGGACCACGTTGCTGTCGGCCACCAGCTCAGGGCCCTCGTAGAACCGCACTCTGTGAGGAGGATGGGACGGTGAGGCAGGGCCCTGGGCTAGGCCCTCCCTTCTGAGACCTTGGCGTCTGACTTGGAAGATGGGTCCCCTCCTGTCTGGGAGTGGGGGCCATGTGTTCCCCCCTGCCTGGGCCACACTTAGGGCAGGTGGGGCTTCTGAGCTGAGCCTCAGTTTCCCTGCATGAGAGGATGGACACAAAAGGTGCTAAGCAGGGCGCCTGGGTGGCTCAGTTGGTTAAGCGACTGCCTTCGGCTCAGGTCATGATCCTGGAGTCCCGGGATCGAGTCCCGCATCGGGCTCCCTGC